TACAGTGAAATAATTATAGGCGTTTTACTTCTGACACATATCTACCTGTTTTTTTTCCACAAATATTGTCAAATATTATCTGTATATTATCAATGAAGCAAACTATAAATTCTTTATCATCTAAGTGCTAACGTCCACTTCAGTTATGAGAAAACGTACCTGCACAAGGGTATTCTGGATTTTGTTTATCTTGAAAACAATTCTGCAAATTCCATGCACACATGTAACTTTCATGTCTTTTAATTTTCTCGTCCGTGCAACATGAACGTGGGGCTAAATGTTTAGAAATGTGCCTTTATCAGAAATATTCATCATCTGCACAATTTAATTCTGCCTGGTAAAATTAAATAATTAGTTTCCGTAGATTAAGCAAAGAGCATTCCCTTTTCAAGTTCTATATACCATTGCATAATGCTGGAAATATCAAATGAAATTCGCTTTGATTTGAAAATATTATACGATAATAAAAATATCAACCAAGCTTGACCGGCGCAGCATATTTTTAAATATACTTAAAAGTATATTGTCCTATCGTAAGAAAAGAACACCAGTGCTGTTGTTTTACTAAATCTTACCCGTCTCAACAAGACCGCACGGTTGTTCCTGTAGCGGTGCGTCTTAGCAGCGGTTCTTTTGCGGGTGGCTATAATCGAGCAACAACACGTTAACTGCATCAACGACCAAAAAACTTAGCAATTTTTTTTATGAAAGTGCGAACTTGATTAAATGTTACCAATATGCACCTCCTGTTCCGGATTTAAAAGGAGCACTTAGCTACATGTGCCTTTATCTGAACTCATAAAACGTGAATAAATACGAACAATATTCTCATCTAGATAAATAAGAGGAATATATAGATTGATCTATAGTACAGGTTTTAAACTCCTACCTTGTTTTCTTTGCTTTTTCTTGAGACAGTAAACTGAAAAGAAATAAATAACACACGTTATTTTTTTTCATAAAATGATAGCCAGCACCTTTCTGATTAAAGGGCAAAGAGACGCGCAGGTTTAAACTGTAAAATCGTCACAAGACTGTACGGATGACGAATGTGAACCTTTTTGAATAAATGTCAAATGACCGCCAGTTTTCTCATACCTGGGGTCTAGATTGTTAGATTATCCCATATAAATATAAAATTGGCATTAGAACCAGTTCATTGACACTCAGTTTGAAATTATAGTTCTAAACCGTACCAAATGGCGCCATTTGCCCTCCAAAACACCATTTTTTTCGAGGCCAACAAGCGTGTCCCGAACCCGGAGGAGGTGAGTGTCGGCCTAGCAATCCGAGGCCTAGCAATCCCTAAAAAACCGGACCCCCCATCATATTGATATTACCATCCACTCTGAGAGTGACGGCTTAGCACACTTAGATAAATGTAATGCCGCCAGCTCTCTACTGCTCTGGGGGCAGTATGCTTAAGCAAGAGGGAATATGAAAATAAAATTACTCAGACAACCCGGGGGAGCATGGTGACACAGAGGATATATGTCACCAGCAGTTCTTTGGCTGAGGTTCTGACACATGGAAACGGTCAGCTCTCCGACTCTCAGGGTTTCGTTCACATAAGACCTAAACTACATGGACATAATATTTTAAAAAGTGACAAAAAATGCATGATATAATATGATATAAGGCATATTTTTAGGATAATAGTTTTGAACATCAGTGAAGGCTGACTTACCTTTTACAAAGGCAAAGAAGCATGCTAGCAGCAGTCCCATAGCGAAACATACCATCATAATATGACCACTGTTGATTTTGTCCCATTGTTCTTCAAAGGAGAACCCTTCAAATAAGAGTATTCTTATTTTGTTGTGATGATACGAGCTACTTCGCATTGTAAATTATTTCAAAATATAACTGATTCATCTTGTCCATCACTATAACCATCCATAATTCGTAAACGATATCTATGGAAATGACCTATTCTGTGATGTCACTACCTGTCATGTCAGCACATTATGACATCAACTTTTACAATAGTTTTAATAATATGGCAAACGTTAGTATTGTTGTGAACAATGGGTATCAACAATAGGTACGACACTGGGGCCATGACAACGCCCCGTTACGAGTTTAGTGTGACGTCATCGATACAGTATCACATTTATACAGGATCAGATTTATAACTCTTATGCAGCCCGGGAGCCACCGGCGCATATGATGTATCTGCTGCAGCACATTAATCTATCTGATGATGATATCTATAAGAAAACAGCACCCGCAGGCTCTTCCGGTATTCGGATTTGTTTTAAATTTCTATTCATTTTGTTATTTTACTCATAATATGATATTATCTACAACTGTGCAACCGCGGGAGAAATTTTGGATGGGGGAAGAGAGAGATCAAAATCGAGAAAGAAAGAAAAACGATGTTCCCTTCCTTCTCTCTTTGCTACTATATGAATGTTCATGTCGCTTTGTTAACAAAACGTTGCCCGTTTCATGGCTTTATAATTGTGAGTACAATTAATAATAAGGCTAGTTAGGATGCTAGTTTGGTTTTTGGTTATGGTAGGCCTAAGATTTGTATTAAATCAGGTATTTTGCAGCGTAGACGAAAATGCAAATTCGTATTATTCGTCCATGTTTGTTGTCAGTAGGATGGCTTAATATTGTAGAAGTATCACGTTCAACGGGTCACGACACAGCTGTGAAATTTTGCCATGCAGGCGTACGGCTACTCTTCTAATTATTTACATGTATTTCTTTCAAATACAATTATATCAGTCGTCTTCGTTACATTTTCTATTTTCATTCGCCATTTTAATAAATACTATTATCAATAAGTACTATTATTAATAATCTTTGTGTACAATTTTCCAGTAACATTTAATAGAGACTTCGCTCTATAGCCATTAACATCACTGATATATAGATTAATATAATATGGTGGTTAAAAGATGGTTCAACTTATAACGTGAAGCTGCATTCATTTGAAATATAACGATCGAAATATGTTTCCAAGACGGGCAAAGCGCGAGTGGCATCAAATGTCCCAACTGGCTGCCTTAGAGTGGATATAAACGGTAATAAGTCATCTTGAAGTATGCAGAATTTTATATTTAAACAGTAATTCTGTACTTAGAGTAAAAAGTGCCCCAAAACGGGCCCTGGGAGGCTTTGACTTTAAATGCCATCGACCTACTTTCGATCTTTTTCTTTACACAGCCATAGCTGATTATGTCGCGAGATCATCTTAGATGTGGTCCGTCAATCGAGTATGCGACAAAAATTATTACATATCGAAAAATATGCGAGTCCTGCATCGGGAATTTAATGACTTTATTGTTAATATATTAATTTACAATTAATTTATTTAATGCTTGATTCGAATCGTTCCGTCAACACACTGAATTTTGAAAAGTGCTTTTTTTTCGTGGGGTGGGGGAATCAATAAAAACGAACCCCCCTCTAGGAAATCCTGGATACGCCCCTATATTTAATGTACATGTACCCCTTCACTAACATCAAGAGGTGTTGTGTTCTTACATTTACAGCGGGATATATTTATCTAATATAGTTTATTCTAAGGGCTCTAATACGACTCGGGATAGTCCAGGTATCGGCTCTAGTTACGCCTGGAGAAAAAGTTACGTAACACCGCAGTTTTATTTCCAAATCCAAAAAATCAATTTTATTACCTGGACATTGCCTAGTTTTATGGAAGAAATCTACGTGACAGAAATCGCCAGGTCTTGAATTAGGTTCAAGTGAGAAGGGGAAATTGAAAATTTTCGACTGATAATTAAACGAGCCGCGTGCAAAAGTCTGGTGATTATTTTGCCATCTGTACACGCCTCGTTTTTTAACAAAAAATAAAAATTAGAGAACAAAGTTTTATTTAACTATTATATACAGTAACATTCAATTTCAACAGTACTTCAGTAATCATTAATGAATCATGTAAACGCAATGAATCAATACATGGTAGTACCCGATGCCCTCGGGCCGTGGGGAAAAACCCATCTAAACCCTTCGTGGGGAATGCCGGGAAAATGCCCACGCCCGGATACTTCAGTCCTAAAAATATAACTTGTTTTTTAAAGTTTATAAATATCGCCCCGTTTTATACAGCATGGTGCGTTTGAATAAACTTTCTTGTGACTACAAACTATTCTCTACATACGTTATACTGGTACACAAGATGAAGCCTACTGAAAAAGGTACTGAAGACAATCAAGACATATACTAGTCTTAACACAAACTGAAGCTTAATTTTACTTCATCTAGGGGGATGAAGTCATAAACAAAGTAACTGAAAGCATACATCAAAACTTGGATAGTTCTCGCTCATAATAAAATATATAAAAGTTCAGGTAATACGAGTATTACCCAGACGCATCAATGATTGATATTAAACTTTGACACAATCGAATAGAAGTTTCTCAAACGTAATCTAACTACCAGTATGATACAAGTAAAAAATACGGCAAGCTTGCTTCGACATATTTTATTTCACATTACACTGTATGACCGTCCATGCAAATTTCAATACGAATTTTTGGGTCCGGAGGAAAAAAAAGGTGCATATATGATGAATTGGATATATTTGTCAAATATAGCACTTGAGAAAATCATAATACAGGTGTATTAGTATGTTAGTAATGTGCGAACCTCAATCTTGAGAGATGACTGTGTGCACCCAGCCATCCCTCACGAGGAGCAGACTGAGTACAGTAATGAAATATTTTCTCAAAAGTAAAATATTTCATTATAGATTTTGCACAAGCTATCAGTGTAAAACCGCTTCATGTAAAAGCATTTACATCAAGTCGGATTTTACAAAGATGTGAGGGTTAGTTGAAGGAAGTGTGCGGATTATGATCTTCTCAAACGCTATACTGACGAACATCTCCACATCATCAAAAGCACAAATTTGAAAAATGACTACATCACTAAAATTGAAATAAAACACAGACGACCATAAGTATTGGTAATACCAATGCTTTGCGAGCAAAAACCTATCTGCATTTAAATGTGGATAAAGCAACTGGATATTCTATTTAAAATGTTTAAAATAACTGTTGAGGCAGACAAAAATTAATGTTCACACAGAACCACAATTAATCTTATTCAATTGAACATTAAAGGAATTATAAATGATCACGCACTGAAGTCAGTTTTCTCTTAAGCTATTGGAATTCAATGTTTCACTGTCATAAGTGAAAAAAATAAAACTTACTAAATACAATTACACCTGACCCATATCCGTGACCCAATATATAAAATGCTCGAGTACATTATTAGATTGTATTCCTCTTATATTCAGTAAATCGCTCTTCATTACCATTCCACATTCTCATTTTTTTATTGTGCAGACAAGTTGTGTCCTTAAAAAACAAGACTGTTAGGACGTCCAATAATCAATGAAAGTTGTTACAGGGGCTCGCGTTGCTAGCACCAGTAAGTGTTTCGCATCTTGGACATTTGGGCTAGGATTGATGGTATCTGCGTTCAGGCATTATTTCTGGAAAACTGTCCTTTCGTAGCCTACAATAAAATGTAACATGTTCACACAAAAGTATGAAAAGTAATTGAAAGCTTGCAGTAATTGCAATAAAGAACGTGTATGTCACTTGTAATCCTAATAAGTATTTTGACGTTTCATAATACTTTGGTTGTTAACACGATTATTTTATTCTATTATATATCTGAGGCACAAAACAAGAAAACCACATTATGATTTAGGAGAGTGCTAAGATTCAACAAAGAGAAAGTGACCAGAAAATAAGAGAGATAAAAGAAGGAATGTGAATGACGAAAACGCCTAACGATCCGAACAACACAAAACAGTTGAAAATACATGCTTACCTGTACGATGGTCTCTTAGTACCACAACCGCAGCACTGAGGGCGAGATTGGGTGGTAGTAGCTCCTTGTATTCTAGACCAGTGATAACACAACGTGTGTCACATTGTAACTGATGGAGATCTGAAAGTTGGCCGATAGTCGTGAGTGATTTCTTTTTTTTTTTACAAGTTTGTGACAAAAGCTTTTGACCACTAAAATGAGTTTTTTTTTCACGTTTGTGACAAAATGTCTGCTGGATTCTAAAATGTCTGCTATATGAATTTCCTTGAATAAATTGTAAATAGAAAAATGTCTACATTTAGTGGCTAGACAACAGTTTCCAAACAGTCTAATTTGAAACAATTTTGTCTTTGGCTTTGCACAAAATGTCCAGTTTGTTGAATTTGTATTGACAAAAGATTTGTAAAGTTTATAGAATAATTGTTCACCCTCTACCCTGGCCCATAACTTACATTAAAGGCTCCTAAATTCCAATGGTATCACAACTAGGCAAAGACTATCATCAGGCCAGGCGCTCACCAATGCTATCTGCCTCAACTTTAAAACAGAAATTTAGAAGACATTAGTTTCCCTATTTACCTGTTCTCCCTACCCAACTCACTAAACTTAATTTTTTATTCTAGAAGTGGGTCAAGGGGAAGATGCACTTCCTTGTGAAAAGGAGATGTAAAGTTAATGTGGCTAAGAATTTTATCTTAAGAATTTTGTAAAGTGAAAAATGACTTTAGTGTAACATTCTCCGAAATAACTTGAGTTACCTGTTACGGCTTGGAGGATTTCCATTTCTGAGAAACGCTATATTCTTCTGATGTTCCCCATGCAGCTGGAATCTTTTTACGAAAAGTGGGATCTCTATCTGGATTTGCCACAATCGAATTCTGTAAATAGAAAGGAAAAATAGCCTTAATTTTTCCCTTTACCTCCCTCCCCCAATATACTAACTTTGAAAAGTGGTTCATCCCAAAAGAGTGGATAATGGCCGAGAGTAATCATTTTTACGGTGACAATGGATCGTTTCATAACAGTGCATGGTAAAGGGCTTTTCTATTAGAATCTTGAAATGAAAATCATTAGTTGTCAAGCATCTAGGGAATTCATTTCGAGTGACTAAGTGGGCTGCCCCCATGAAAGTGTTTAGGGCCTTTACAATGCTATCAACTTATCTCACCTCAAAATATAAATTAACTTTTAGCATGAATTAGTTTTTAAGAATTATGATTAGATGCTCGTTTTCTATCAATCTGACTTAACTTCAACATTTAAAGGTACGCACAAGAGTGAACTGTTGTCTAGTTTGTTTAATTTCCATAAATTGTGTATTTAAAGCAGTCTTCGGCATAAGCAGTTCACTTAAAATAGTAATTAGTTTTATTTGAAGAACGAAATTGCAATCATTTGATACCAGGAGTAACTCTGGCTGCTCCATTTTAATCTTTTTGGTCTAAAATTAAAGACTAACTTTAAAGATACTTTTCTTTCGTGAAACCCATATCAATGATCTTAATGAGTACTGTAGCAACGAGTACCTGTGCCACGATGACTTCACCAAACTGTGAGAAGTAAGCCTTCGAGTCATCGACGGTGTTCTTCCAAGACAAAGCCAGCAATATCAGGTCTCTGCACTTCTTGCTGTCGATTGCGATTCTCAAGGGTCTCATCTCCTTTTCTTTTATTCTCTAAAACGGCAACACTTTCCAGTTATTATTATTGACTGTGTAATAATGTATTATTGAATATGTAATCATCGACTCAACTTATTTTTGTTCGGACAAGTAGATTTGTCATAATGTTTAAATTATTTGACCATAAGTTTTTTAAAGTTTTCGAAAGAACTTTTGATTCGATTTAATTTTTAATGTAACTGTCACATAATTATAAAAAGGTCAAGGTCATCTTAATATTAATATAAAAATGCAATCCAGGCCAGTTTTATTAAATATATGTATACAGCCATCAGCGGGAGCTCCATCAAGAAGCGCTATCATCGAGTTCTGTTAACAGAAAGAAAAACGGATTAATGACTTTTCCTACCTATGTCAACACTTTGCAATCAGGCTTACCTTTAAGCATTTTCGATCTCAATGAAACACCACATGCCTTGGACGCTCCCCTAGTGCGGCCACCTCGTAGACAGACCATGACAGGACTCGCTGGACTCTCCCCCAGTACAGCCACCTCGTAGACGGACCATGACAGGACTCGCTGGACGCTCCCCCAATGCAGCCACCTCGTAGACGNCAACAAAGATTGATCGAAGAAGCTGAAGCGTAGATGTGGCACTCTTCCCCTTGCAGTTGTCAATGGGAGCTCTATCGAGAATCGCTATAATCGAGTTCTGTTAAAAGAAAGAAAAATGGATTAATGACTTTTCTTACCTATGTACATGTATGTAAAGAAACCTGGAATGCACAGAAACATATGCAGTGACACTACAACAATATAGCCCACAATAGCAGAGAGCCGATGATGTATCCTGCGAAGATTCCTGGGCGACGATTCCTGAGCGAGGATTCCTCGTAAGGAGAAGCGAAGGTTTTTAGCTGGCCAGCTAAACGAAACGTCGAATCCACCGTAAAGACGACTGCGTGTGCGAGAAACAACATGTTGATGAGCGATGCGTTGACTTGGGACGAGGAAAAGATTCGAAGAAATGCGAGTTGACTCCTGTTTCCTTTTTGCTTGATACGGGGCGCAATACATGGCGTCCTCCTCGCTGCTCCAGATCTGTCTGCGTTGAGTGAACGCAATTTCAAAATTTCGCGCTTTTATAGCTTCAGTGATATAAAGTCACATGGTGGCGTCCCTGGTCAACTTGTTAATAGGGGGTGGCGTTTGAAAGTGATGCCCATAATTGATTGAAATATTTTTAACATACACATTTTATTAACTATATTTTTATTTTGATTATTTTGTTTATCATTTTATTTTATAATAAGAGTGATAAGTATTACGCAGTGACTCCGAAATGTACAGACAAATTTGATGACAATTTCTGAGCAACATACCTTCTCCCCAAAATTATGATAGGCCCGATGTCCGTTAAACTGGTACAGGTAGCCGTGAACTTCTCGCAGGACACTATAGTACGTGTGTATTCGAACACTGGTCCAAAATGTGGATAATGAAGTAGTGCGACCGCATTTTCGAGGCAGCCTGAGGGAGCATGATTGTTTTGATTGTAGTGAATTGTAGTGAGTCAATTGCAAGTACACTGGACTTACCAGATACAGTCACCTCAGTACTATAAAACATATTTCGGAATTAACTGAGTTGTTATTCTTTGAAATAAAAAACAAGTTATTGTAATTTTACGAAACAAAAGAAATCAGCAGTAGGTCACATGAAAAATCTCGATTAACTTATACCAGGCAGCAGAAACAAATGAATATTTTTTTGCACATTAAAGGTATACTGATATCAGGTACATATATGCTTACATGTACATGCTAATAGGTAAATTGCTCATTATCAATGTTTTCATGGCCAGGCACACAATAGCTTCATTTGTGTTTTTTAAGTGAGGTGACCGACACTGCTTGAAAATCGAACTCGGGACTTGCTTCGCCTGCCACGAGAATACTCTATGATTCTCATTTAAAGAATCTTAAGTTATATCCATGATTAGCTAGACGATATGATGGCAGGACACAGTTAATTGTTTTAGACGAAACTGCATTTTCATAGACAGTAATTTCGTTAACAAGCATTGTGAAACATGTACTTGGTTGTTGAGGACAAAATGTGCCAGTAAAATAAATGTGCATCTCGTAACCCCTGTAGAACAGTCTAATTTTTGGTAGTATGAGTAACGTGCGAATATTATCCAAAATGGGTTTTAAAAACCTTCTTTACTGAATACGAAAACATTCCGTACTAGCAAGGCATGAATAGGAAAATGTTTGCATTATTACGCAAAAATTTAGATTACGCGACCCCCCTAATTCCCGCTACTCGCGGTACTCCAGGTAGAAAAACGTTTCACACACACACACACACACACACAAAGTCACTGTCAGTGCATGTTTAGGTAGTTATACACCACACAATATACTCCTGTGCCTTACATCACTCCCTTAAATCCCTTTCCAATTTCGATTTCAGATTGTTATTCAGTAACAGACATAATTACATGTCAAGGTGTTCTGGTACAGACAAATCATGCTCAATACATGCCTAGATATAAATTTTTTGAAGCTGAACAACGTGACCGTGATCAGGTGTCGTAAGGCTTACATTACATTACAATCTTGCGTTCTTATTTGATGAATGTTATTAGCCAGAATATATCTAGGCACTTCACTGAATGTTCATTTTTCTCTTTTATTTTTTTTCCATTGCTAGTAGCCTATAGATGTAACATTGTCTGTGTACTGATCATCATAACTATTTGGATGCTGCAATGTTATGAAAAGAAACCATGCTGACTGTAAACTCTGCATATATACATTCTACACGGCTCGTTCACAAAGTGTGCAGTGGGCGTTATTGTGATGTTTGGATAAAATTGGATATTTTCTAGGCAGTAAGAGGGAAGAAATAGTTAGCCTACATCCATATTCTGGTCACAGCACAGGTGTGGAATTTTCTCATGTAGGCATACGGTTGCTCTTTTTATTGTACATGTAGGCCCCTATTTAGTTCTTTCAGATACACTCCTATTAATCGTTTTTGTCCCAACACCAAGGGCTTATCGAATAATTAATTATTCTGTTTTTTATTTGTGTCCTTGCCTTATTGAAATATCAGAATTTTTTTTAGTGAAAATCGGCATCCCCAATTTAAAAATGTTTTTATTTTGTATAACGGAATTGAACAAGACTAAAAAAAGGTCATTTATGGTCCAAAAAGGGTAGGCCTACCACGACTTTAAAGTGTTGTATGCCATTGCATTCAGCGAGGGTCCTCTGGAGTTAGTGCATAGTAGCTAATACTATACATTCACTGTGAATGCACTCATTATCACTGTGGGCCCCTGGAAGCGGGTACTTATAACATTGAAGCTTGTCTTGAACAGCGCCATCTATTTTCTCCGACCAGAGCGGGGAGCTTACAGATACATAACATGCATTTTACCAGTGATTGAAGCATAGCTACTGTGACACATAGGAAAGTGGTCTTTTCAGGTAGTTTACTAGCGTAACCTGTGTAACTATAAGATACCGATCTGACACTCAGAAGTCTTTGTAAGTGGAAAGTTCTGTAAATATATATTGTTGGTTTGATCACATTCTACCGCGGTACCGTGAGTGACGTTTTTTTCTGATAATGTGATAATTGCCAACTTCAGCAAAACCATTATCTAAATGTGCTATTGGTTAACTTCCTTATTGAAAAATAATTTGACAATCTAATCACATGATTTTTATTTGTTTTATGGTGGACATGAGCTGATCTGTGTGAATGATGAATGATTGTTACTGTTAGCGGGCCTTAGTAAGGAAAACGGTCATTAATGGGTCGCTTTTAGAGAATTTAGGTCTATTTTAATGGTAATTCTCTTTTATAGCACAGGCGCTGCTGTACCATGAGTGGGTCTCAGCCAAGCTCGGAGTCCAAATGTCTTGAGAATGGTGACAGTGGCAGGAATAAAACTGGTGTATCCAGTCTGCTTAAGTACAGGTTTCAGAAGACAGCGGTTAACAAAGTGCAGAGTGTCAAGAATGGGGTGGAAGTCACCAGGGCCCAACCCTCAACTCCAGAAAAACAACAGGGTTAGTACATGTTTGTGTACTGAAATGTATGCTTACATCACACACTTACACCTATTATTTATTTAGCCTTAAAGGTCTAGTTAAAGGTACATACGAACCGAGCATCGGTGGAGCGTGGATTCCCAGTAACACATACTAATTTATAATAATAATTTATTTATTGTCATATTTATACAAGTATAAAATGAAAATTGGTATGATCTGTCGATAAAATGTGATACAGTGGAATTATTAAAATACATTTTGTTCATTAAAAATACTTACTGTTGATGGATAAAAACTATTTTTAATGCGCGTGGAGGTTGCTTTTAATGACCGTAGTCGGCTTGTTGACATATGCATAAGTAGGCTATACGCTGGGTGACCAGGGTCACCTGTGATTGACTTTACTTTCTTGAGCACTCGTCTCGTATACAAACATTCAATAGACGGCAAGTCCCTACCTACAATGCGCCTGGCAGTTTTTACTATGCGATTGAGGCGATTCTTGTCCTCTGCTGTAGCACTACTGTACCAGACAGTGAAAGATTGTGTTAGTACACTCTCAGTCATGTAAACCACTTCTAGTAGTTTCTTATACGACTCAAATAATTTTGACCTGCCAGGGGATAAACTGAATAGATCACTCGATCAGCCATAAAAGAGCTTTTTTGGTAAAATCCTTTTGGTAACTCTCTTAGTTATACTACTTGAAACTATATGCTGGCATTTGGTCGGTTTTTGCAGCAAAAAAATTGACTTTGTATGCATCTTTAAGGAATGAAAAAATGGAAAGTGGTCACAAATTTAAAAATTGTAATGGTATTGACTCAAACATAAATTTCCACCATCAGTATATTTTTTGCACCCAAACAACGTAAAATTTGTGACAAAATGAAGTGTACATAGTAAAAGCATTTTTGTAAGCTTTGTTGAAAGATTCTATTCTTCATATTATATTATTGGTCCTTAATTCACTGTAACTCTATCCCCTCAGTGACTGTGATCCCAGAGACTCCAGAAGCCAGTCACCCAAGTCCTATATCTAGTCCAATATTTACCAAAGTCCAGCAGGACTCCAGTCCAATGTCTAGTCCAGTATTCACAAAGACCAAGGGAAGGAAAGCACCTGCTCGCATTTTAGAAACAGACTCTGAGGAAGAATCTGCCAAATCTCCACTGAAAACTCCATCTTCTCCATGGCTGTCCAAAGAATTTGGTAAACAAGTATTGAACGGAACTGTGGATCTTAGTCACAAAGCAGAGACAGAGTTTTGTGAGAAACTAACTGCGTTACAGGAGTTGTTTCCGACCAGGCCAAGAGTGTATCTGGAACAGGCAATTAAATCTACCCCTAACTTGGACCAAGCAATAGATGCTGTTATAGCATTTGACACAATGGGCACTTCAGGTATGTCTTGTGTGTACAGTCTTTGCCAAATAACTTTTTGCCCTCTGGTCCTTCATACCAGACAGGGTCTACGGGTCTACTGGCCTAAAGTAGAAGGTGGGCAGTTACTGAATATATTTACAAAATTTTACTAGCCTTACTTCAATTTCATTGGCATTTGGTGTGAGGCTAGTGGTCATTTTCAAAGACGATGTATCAAAGTCATAATTTGTAATCAGTGCTTTGATGAAGTAGTATCAGACTGCTTGCAGTATTAAGATTTCACTGAGATGATATAAAAATGATATTTTTTCGCAAAAAATATTCTAGAGAGGAAGAGGTCACGCCAGGAAAGCCAGGAGAGTGTGGAGTCTGACATATCTTTTCCAAGGTCTAAGAAATGCCGGCCACTGCGGATAGACAGCTCTAGTTCCCAGCATTCACAGGAGGAGGAGGTTGCTAGTTTTCATATAGATGAAGAAACCAAACAAGAAAGGATTAGATTTCTTAAAGAAGCATTCCCAAATATCCCTGAAAAGGTAATGGCATTTAATTTTATTAAATAATCAATGTATTTGTTAAGCCATGATTTCATTGCATGTAAAAATTGGCTCTCAAAGTATTTGCGATTTTCCAAGAATTGTTTGTTAGACCAGTTGGATATGTTTATGGCTGAGAATTTTGTACTCCTCAAAATCTTTGACACTTGCTTTTGAGTCCTAGCAGCTATATTTTGATACTGAACAATAGTAAAATTGCATAGATCATGTTATAAAAAGTTATCATTCTATGTATTAAATGATAAACATAGCCAGGTACAAGGCGCTTTAACTGTCAACTCTATATGTTCTCCTTAGGATCTGTCTGTGGTACTGTCAGATAACCAGTGGTCAATGGAACAGGCCACCGAGTCCTTGACAGCATTCCAAAGCCAGGGGGATGACCAAAGTAACCAGCAACATGATGGTGACAAGGAAGTTATTGAGATATCTGATGAAGACAGCAACCAGCCTTCTACATCACTGCCTGTTAAACAACAGCATATTCAGTGTATGTCCAGTCAAATTAACCTCCCCCCTCTTCTTCCATAAACAGCCACACTTGTAGTCATTAAAGGGTCTTGTACTGAATAGTAAATATTGAATCAAGTGGATGTGATGAATTAATAATTAATTTATTTCCCTTGTAACATGGTAATGGTCTTGTCTGGAGTGAAAAAGATATAATTATGTATATTTTTTTCAGACACAGCAAAAAGGAAAAACATTAAAGATTTTGAGGAGGAAGAAGAGGAGTTTGAAATGGGTGCCTATGACAGTGATAGTAGCATTGAGGTGAGTCTATTTTATATCTAACAGATGTATGCAGAGTAGTTCTGTCTACTTTGATACATCTGTTAGTGATTGCTCTCTAGATTACTTATTTACATGAGATATTTGATTATTTTAATATTTTATGAATCAATGTGGTATTTGAATTTTGGACATCAGTTTAATGACCCTTTTTTGATGCATTGGTCTCCTTTCATTTAATTCTCTAATATTACACAATTATTATATAAATCAGTAAATGTAAATTCAGCACCATGTACTGGGTAGTAGTAGTAATATATGTGTTGTCATTAACATTATTGGTAATGTTGCCAGTGCAAGTAAGCTATTTTCTCAGTTAAAACTGCTTAAATCTCCTTAGTTTGATGAAGATGACTCACGACGTCAGGCTGCCAGGGAGATGGTGTTTTCTTTCTTCAATGAAGCAATATATGAAGAGCTCCTTAATATGCCCACCTGCTCCAAGAAAAAAGCTGAACTTATTATGAGTCTAAGGCCTTTTGAAAGCTTTCAGGATTTGGTAGGTTACAGTTAATTAACAGGAGGAAATAATGTCATAATAAATTGAAAAATCTGATTTCTTTTACTGATTGTTGTAAAGGTCAAATTAGTGTCAGTTTCATCTATGATGATAAAAACTACCAATAGTAATTTAACATATTGATGTTAATGACAGATAGAGGAAAATAATCATGCTGGTGAAGATGAGTATGCAATTTTACATCTGATGACTACATGTATGTTAAAAATACATTAAAACATTGAATTATTTCCAGGTAGAAAAATTTGATTCCACCAAAGGACTGAGCTACGATACCCTGACAGGTTGCCAGGAGCTGATCCGCACACGAGCAGCTGTGACAAAGCTGATGTTGAGATGTGAGGACATTTCTAGGAGGATGGAGTCTCTGGTCAGCAGACTGACTGGAGATGTGGCCTTGCATGGAGAGGAGGGAGAAATCACCCGGCAACCAAGTGTACTCAATTCAGAGTAAGGGCATGAAGCAATTGGTTCAATGCATACTTTTCTGTCTGTTTTTTTTTTTGTCTCATGACTCTTGAATGTATCATGCAAAATTTCCCTTTTCGTACATTCATAATGTATACTTNCAATGTATTTGTTAAGCCATGATTTCATTGCATGTAAAAATTGGCTCTCAAAGTATTTGCGATTTTCCAAGAATTGTTTGTTAGACCAGTTGGATATGTTTATGGCTGAGAATTTTGTACTCCTCAAAATCTTTGACACTTGCTTTTGAGTCCTAGCAGCTATATTTTGATACTGAACAATAGTAAAATTGCATAGATCATGTTATAAAAAGTTATCATTCTATGTATTAAATGATAAACATAGCCAGGTACAAGGCGCTTTAACTGTCAACTCTATATGTTCTCCTTAGGATCTGTCTGTGGTACTGTCAGATAACCAGTGGTCAATGGAACAGGCCACCGAGTCCTTGACAGCATTCCAAAGCCAGGGGGATGACCAAAGTAACCAGCAACATGATGGTGACAAGGAAGTTATTGAGATATCTGATGAAGACAGCAACCAGCCTTCTACATCACTGCCTGTTAAACAACAGCATATTCAGTGTATGTCCAGTCAAATTAACCTCCCCCCTCTTCTTCCATAAACAGCCACACTTGTAGTCATTAAAGGGTCTTGTACTGAATAGTAAATATTGAATCAAGTGGATGTGATGAATTAATAATTAATTTATTTCCCTTGTAACATGGTAATGGTCTTGTCTGGAGTGAAAAAGATATAATTATGTATATTTTTTTCAGACACAGCAAAAAGGAAAAACATTAAAGATTTTGAGGAGGAAGAAGAGGAGTTTGAAATGGGTGCCTATGACAGTGATAGTAGCATTGAGGTGAGTCTATTTTATATCTAACAGATGTATGCAGAGTAGTTCTGTCTACTTTGATACATCTGTTAGTGATTGCTCTCTAGATTACTTATTTACATGAGATATTTGATTATTTTAATATTTTATGAATCAATGTGGTATTTGAATTTTGGACATCAGTTTAATGACCCTTTTTTGATGCATTGGTCTCCTTTCATTTAATTCTCTAATATTACACAATTATTATATAAATCAGTAAATGTAAATTCAGCACCATGTACTGGGTAGTAGTAGTAATATATGTGTTGTCATTAACATTATTGGTAATGTTGCCAGTGCAAGTAAGCTATTTTCTCAGTTAAAACTGCTTAAATCTCCTTAGTTTGATGAAGATGACTCACGACGTCAGGCTGCCAGGGAGATGGTGTTTTCTTTCTTCAATGAAGCAATATATGAAGAGCTCCTTAATATGCCCACCTGCTCCAAGAAAAAAGCTGAACTTATTATGAGTCTAAGGCCTTTTGAAAGCTTTCAGGATTTGGTAGGTTACAGTTAATTAACAGGAGGAAATAATGTCATAATAAATTGAAAAATCTGATTTCTTTTACTGATTGTTGTAAAGGTCAAATTAGTGTCAGTTTCATCTATGATGATAAAAACTACCAATAGTAATTTAACATATTGATGTTAATGACAGATAGAGGAAAATAATCATGCTGGTGAAGATGAGTATGCAATTTTACATCTGATGACTACATGTATGTTAAAAATACATTAAAACATTGAATTATTTCCAGGTAGAAAAATTTGATTCCACCAAAGGACTGAGCTACGATACCCTGACAGGTTGCCAGGAGCTGATCCGCACACGAGCAGCTGTGACAAAGCTGATGTTGAGATGTGAGGACATTTCTAGGAGGATGGAGTCTCTGGTCAGCAGACTGACTGGAGATGTGGCCTTGCATGGAGAGGAGGGAGAAATCACCCGGCAACCAAGTGTACTCAATTCAGAGTAAGGGCATGAAGCAATTGGTTCAATGCATACTTTTCTGTCTGTTTTTTTTTTTGTCTCATGACTCTTGAATGTATCATGCAAAATTTCCCTTTTCGTACATTCATAATGTATACTTCTACCAGTTTTTTCAGAATTTCACTTTTGTTTCAGTTTCACTTTAAAGCCTTATCAAATGGTCGGCCTGAACTGGATTAGACTGATGCACAAACAGGAGTTGAATGGAATTCTTGCAGATGAAATGGTAGGTTTATAAGCAGGCTTGCCACCTGGGAATATACCAGCTACTGAGTGTAGTTTGCCTTTTTGAGCCAAAAAATGTCATTTTTCAGACACTTGCAGATATTGGATATGGATGGGGTGGTGGTGTATATATTTCAACTCTTTTTCCATATGTTCACTATCTGTATCTCAAATATCTAAAACAATCAGATATCTTTTGTTATCCAATACCACGCCCTAAACATTCGTCAGTTTTATCATGAAAAGTAAAAGTAAAATACATTGATATCAGACTTGTCAGAACGTGTTTTTTTTGTAATATGAGAAATACATTCCAGGGTCTAGGCAAGACTATACAGGCCATAGCATTCCTAGCACATCTCTTAGAAATAGGTGACACTGGACCTCATATCATTATTGTGCCTTCTTCAACTTTGGGTAAGTTATAAGACGTGAGGTTCAGGAAACTGAAACTAAGTCATTGAATTGTAAATATGTTAATTTATTGGCCTGATTTGCAGAAACCTTGAACTTTTGTTGAATGTAGCTTTTCATTTGTCTTTACAGTTATTGTATGATGCCATAGCCTCTAGTCTCTTATCCACCATGCTACATAGCAAGCACTGACTATCAATCCAGACAGTTTATTTTGTTTGATAATTTCAGACAACTGGCTTAGAGAGTTAAAAGTGTGGTGCCCAAGTCTTGAGGTGTGTGTCTACTATGGTAGTCAGAGTGAAAGGGCCGAAATCAGATACCAAATACTTGGAGGACAGATTGACTTCAATGTTATGGTTACCTCGTAAGTTCAACAAAATTTTTACATTATTATTTGGTACAATAATTTAGCACACATTGAACTATTTTGACACTTGTTTGAACAATGCTCTTCAAAGGAATTTTTTTCTGAGCTGAAGCCCTATTTACTATCACGTCTCTTTTGTTTGTGCTTGTGTTTAAGGTCACATAAAAATCATTTTGATGGAATTTGTAGAATGTTTTAGAAGAGTACATTTATCTTTGAGATACAGCATTTTTACATTTACAAGGTACAACATTGCCACTGGTACAGCAGAGGACAGGGGTTTATTCAAGAAGTTCAAGTTCCATTATGCTGTATTAGATGAGGCACACATGTTGAAAAATATGTCATCTGCTAGATACCAGAGTCTAATGAGAGTCAGTGTAAGTAAGCTCCTTTTCAAAGCATATAAGAAGAATAACTAATAATACATGTATATGGACATCATCTGCTTAGTAGGTCATGCTTGCAAAATGAAAAATTACATACTATTAAAGGTACATTGGAACTGAGCATCGGTGGAGCGCGGATTCCCAGTAACACATGTAAACCACTTCTACTAGATTCTTATATGACTCAAATAAATTCGACATGCCAAGGGATAAACTGAATAGATCACTCGATCAGCCATAAAAGACTTTTAGACTGCTCCTTTCTTTAAATTTTTGGTTGTAAATTTAACCTACTTTCGTGACCTACTTTCCTGCCCCATTGACATACAGCTTAGAATGTCAGCAGAAAAATCCGTTCAAACATCATTTTCGGGTAAAATTAAACAATGCCTTTTGGTCATTCTCTTAGTTATACTATTTGAAACTATATGCTGGCATTTGGTTGGTTTTTGTGACAAAAAATTGACTTTGTATGCATCTTTAAATATTTTGACTTTATGTGATTGAGCAAATTTGATTGAGATATTTATTCTGTTGTTTGCTATTTGTACCTACATGGTATTACAGAGATTGTTGTTTTTTTATTTATGCAGCTTTTCTAGATTGTCGCAAAAATATAAGGGATACTTTAAGTCATCAGGGTTCTTTCTCTAATTTCTCCTGTATTTAGGCAAGCAGACGTCTGCTGCTCACAGGGACCCCTCTGCAGAACAATCTGGTAGAGCTGATGTCCCTGCTCTGCTTTGTGATGCCTGAAATCTTTGTTGGGAAAACAGAACAGCTGAAGAGGATTTTCTCAACTTGTACTGTAAGTTTGATTTCTCTTTTCTTTTTCATGTCCGTATACCTGTCAGACTTTTTCATGTGTGTCTGAAGGTTGTGGTCGAAGTAATTTCTCAGTACAGATATATGTAAATGTTTTGTCAATTTTGAGACTTTTCTGTTTTATATGCTGAATGCAAGAAGTTTGTGATTTTACGACATAATAGCAGAAGTGCTGGCTGCTTTGGCAGTCCTCTCTAACAAGTGACATTGTATATTTTTTTGTTTTGATTCAGAAAGGGGCCAGTGACAATTCTGGACGAAGTGAGTTTGAGAAGGGCAGAATAGCTCATGCTAAACGCATCATGAAGCCTTTTGTCTTGAGGCGCTTGAAGTCTGAGGTAGGAAGTGTTCTGTATGGTACAAAAGTTCTCTTTTAATATCAGAATATTGCCAAAATACATCAGAAGTATCTGAACCCTGTTACAGGTCTATACAGATTTGCAGTCAATTATGACAAAAGATCCACTGTGAAGCCTCTTGCTTCGAAGTCGGGGGTTGGAAGCACAACGCTGCTCTTTTAACTCTAGATTATTGTTGAATTCCAGTTGCTACATGTTTGACACATGTGTATTTGCATTATATGAAAAAAGACCTACAATGGATCCAGAAATTATAGGTGACAAGTTACGTATAAGATAATAACACTAGATGAGACCACTGCATGTCGGATTTGATAACATTTCACTCTGTGTTGCAGGTTCTGAAACAGCTGCCAGCCAAAGTAGAAAAAATACATCATTGTCCCTTGACAAATGAACAGCGGCGGCTGTATGATGAGCTGGTGACTAAATACTCCGCACAGTCTTTAAAGGAAGACCAAGAGGAAAAGGGGTCCTCCATCTTAATGCAGCTTAGAAAGATGGCCAACCACCAACTTCTGCATAGGAACAAATATCCTGATAATGTGCTGAGACATATGGCCAAACTGATGTTGAAGGTAAAGAATGTAGTTCCACCACCTTCACTGGTACACTTGATTACCTCTAAGTCTGCAACATTAGCCGTTGGTCTTCATTTTTGATTAAAGCATAGCAGAATAAGATGCATTCAGATATGTAAAAAAAGAATTATACAGGAGGTACAAACCAAATATATTTACTTTGAAAAAAAAAACATGAGTCAGGTACGTTTTTTTTTTTTTTCTTAAGGAACCTACGCACACAGATGCCAATGAAGAATATATATACGAAGACATGCAAGTTATGTCCGACTTTGAACTCCATAAGTTATGTCAAATGTACAAGGTGAGTGAGGGATTTCTTACAGTTTAAGTATGTTTAAACAAAACTATAATGTGGTATAGGCATAAAAACGTTTGTGACATTTGCAGGTTGTAGTAGCTTTCAATTCCAAGCAATTTTCAATAGAGGATGCATTTTAAGGTGCTTTTTCCTTTGATGTAAGATTCTGTGGTTGTCACATATGCTGAATCTTTCACAAAATTTTCATTTTTTTTTTGTAGGTTTTGTCAAATTTTGATCTGAAGGAGGAGGTTATTTTGGAAACTGGAAAATTCCGGGTGTTAGATGACTTTCTACCTGACATGAAGACTAAGGTTAATAAATGCTTTCCAATATTTTCTTTCATCTTTGGCAAGGTTTATGCATTGTAAAAACTAATTTTATATAAATAAAAAATTTTTGAGTAAAATGTTTTTTAAAACTGGCAGTTTCAGGATAATCATCTTGTATTTTGATATTTCAGGGTGACAGGGTGCTGCTTTTTAGTCAGTTTACTATGATGTTAGATATTATAGAAGAATATATGAAAGCTAGAGGACACAGATACTTCAGATTAGATGGAAGTACCCCTGTAGTAGAAAGGTAGGAATAGGATGCTTAGGTGTATGTTTTATATGACATATCTTGGGGAATTGAGCATAGTTTGGTTACAGTGCTCTAAAAAGGCTACCTTTGTTTCAACAAAGAGCAAGAACCATCTTAACCATTTTCCTTTTTTGTTGAACAGACAAGAAATGATAGACAGGTTCAACAACGACAAAGACATCTTCATATTTTTACTGTCCACTAAAGCTGGTGGTCTGGGCATCAACCTGACTTCGGCCAATGTTGTGATACTCCATGATATAGACTTCAATCCTTACAATGACAAGCAGGCAGAGGACAGGTGTCACAGAGTAGGGCAAACAAGGTAAAAACATGCATTCCTTTTATATCTGTGTATATCCAATCCAAATTGGAAAGTTGCCATCTAATATAAATGTAATTTCCAAGATCTAAATTTATTATTTTTACACTCACAGGTAAAAATCTCCAGAAATTAGCTATTGTGAGGGTGACTCAATAAGTAGCAATTTTGACTGAAAAATGGGTGTATAGATTAAAATTTTGTGAATAGTTTTAGGTATGGTGTACTGTGGTGGTTATAATTGGCAGCTGGGGAAATTGTTAGGTCTCAATGAAATGTTGGCCTTATAAAGTTCTAATGCTAATGTGTGTGCCTGTAAAATAGGGTGTACAGTTTGGGTAGATATAACAGCATTTAAAAAGAAAAGTTTCTACTTAAAATAATGTTTGGACGTTATTCCCTGTGCAGTGCATGCTTGCATTGTGATAATCACTGTCTTGAATATTTTGGCAATTGAACTATTGGTTCCCTCTTGGTAATGGCTTAGGCAGACACACTTTTGATGAAACTTGAGCTCATTAGTGTTTAATGTTATGGGACTTAACTGAAAACTAGTCCTTATAATGGCTTCCTTTTTAGAGATGTGACAGTGATCCGTCTTATTGCTTCTAACACAGTGGAGGAGGCCATGTTGGCCTGCGCCAACCAGAAATTACAACTAGAACAAGATCTCACTGGGAAACAAAGTAAGATAGAATATGAAAAAACTTCCTAAATATTTTGATTATTATCATTATTATTATTATTACTATAAAAATTTTGATAAGCATAAGATTTAAATATTAATTCTTTTCTGTGTAAGGTATATTTTAGCAAAAAAAAAAAAAAAAAAAAAATCTAAGGCTAATTATTGTAATTTTTGTAATGATCAGCTATTTCACAAATATACATTTGATGGTTTTGAAATGTTAAAAATCTTAATGTTTTATTACATTTTTCCAGACACATCAGAGGCCTCAGTTGTTGTCAAGCTACTTAAAGAGTCCTTGAAAGCTGGAACAAGCTCAGGGAGTGAAGTGTGAAGAGAAATTCCACTCAAATTACACTAGATAATACTCTGGCTACTTCATACTGAATTGGAGAATGACTCTTGGTGTAGTTCAACACATTCAAGCTCTTACAAAAACATGAAGATTTTTGTGATTATGAAATACAGTTTCTCATTTTGATATTTAGTTTGCATGTACAAGGTCTTCACTGATGTTATTGAGTAACATATTCCCTGTTCACAGTGAAATGGTTTAAGTTATTGCATGAAGATTGATGTAATTTTTGATTATCTGTTCATAATTATCATACCAATCATGATGTGAAATTAAGAAATTTGTGAAGGTAATTGGGGTACACCGCTTTTTAGAGTGACTGGATTGATTTGATAATTGTGCCATTAATTTGAAGTTGAGGCCCTTTTTTTGTTGAAGAGAGGTGTCAGAATAGATGTCCTGTGTTTTTTTTTTTTTTTGGTTATAGAATTAAAAAACTTAATTGCATGAAATACCATTTTATAACCAATTTTTCATCCAAACAAAATATGACAAAACTAAGCATGATGTTACTTGATCCTTCATACTGTTATCTCAATTATGTATAATAAAAGTAAAGATTAAAACTAATGTATTTCTAATAAAAGAAGGAGATGTCTTTCTATAAAAGTATTATTTTGTGTTGTCTGTATAGCACTATTTACTTGCAAAAACAGTTTTTATTAGATGGACACCAAGATCAAATTTATTTGTATCAAAACGAAATTTGTTTCATGAAGTACTTTGACTACAAAATGTGGGAACCATAGCAATTTTAAATATTTGTATAACCTGCTTGGAAACATTTTGAATAAGTAAGTTGATGAAATCTTTTAAGGCAAAATCACAACCCATTTTGTGGAATGATTAAGGCTACTGTTTTACTCCCAAGATAAGCTTTGTCACAGTTGAACAATTTTGTCCTGTTAAAAATGTAGTTTTTGAGCATAACGAATGTCTCCAGCAGAACGACCGTTTACAAATACGGGGGAATAATTTTCTCTTACCTTAGTGGTCATCTTTAATCCACATTGGACAGTGCCAGATTTAAATATGCTACACAAAAAAAGATCTTGCCAAATTACATACTGTCAAGTTTATATACACTTTAATAGAAAACATGTTAATAAATAATTTGTTTATTCTAGACACAGTCTTTTAATACAGTGTTCCATGTTAGCTTTTGTTTAACCTGCACCACTTTGAATATGTCCTCAGCTGAGTAATATTAATAAGCCATATAAGGCAACTCATCAAAATAATAATAAAACTCAGATCTTAGTTGTAGGCAGTAGCAAAAGTAGAATGCTGAGTAAGTGGTTAATAATGTCATTTCTGAGCTGAGGAAATATGTATACAGCAGAGTTTATTATGCACAGCACGAAACTTAACAGCAATTTGCTGTTTATCCATAGAAGTATCTGGTAAAATTGACAGTTCTCATCTAATTACAATAAGCAATGACATACTCTGAAATTATAGTCAAGTATCTCTAGTGTTGTGTGACATGTGTCTCTACCCATGTCTGGTTGTCACACCCTCTTATCTTGAACCCTGGCGGCACCTGGTGGTAGACATCGTCATACATGGCCTCCACAGGGAGCTCTGAGTCGGTCTTGGCAATCTGTACAGCAGCATCAACCTCCTTGCGAACTTCAGCATCAATTTGCTGCAAAGTGTGGAAGACTGTTATGTCTCTGCTCATACCATGAGAATACAACTGGACAGCATAAATGTTATTTGTCCCCATGCGATAAATGACTGCTATAAACGTGGCGTCGATATTGAAAAAGGGCTGATGAATTGAGTTACATTTCAATAAATTTTTTCATACGTTTTAACTGTATCTATTCTATATTATTAAGTTTTTGAACCAAAATTTTACCCCCAAGATATTAAATAATTGATTTCGCTTAACAATAATAGTAATAATGATAACATATATATATAAGAAAAAACTGCTATACCTTAAGTTCATCACTGGTGACAAGATTTGCCTCAATAATCTTTTCTCTGAACTTGGTGATAGGATCTCTTGCCTGGCGCACTTCTTGAATCTCCTCACGTGTGCGGTAGCTATAATACAACAAATTGTGCTTGATATTTTTAAAAGATTTTTTTAGTCAAATTAGGATAATCATGTTCTTATTATACCAATTATACAAACTATTAAATAATAATATATCTCTGATGCTTAATGAAACCATATTAGAAAGAAGCTGCAGCACATTTATGCTTTCCATCAAATCTTACAATATAAAGGGTGCTCTCCCCCTCCCCTATCAAATAAAAAGGAAGTCACAATAAACACAATGCATGTGATTACCTGGTTCCAGGATCACTCATACTGTGTCCTGAATAGCGGTACGTTTCCACTTCCATACACAGAGGTCCCTTGCCAGAGCGACAGTACTCTGCAGCCCAGCGTGTGGCTTCCTTCACTGCCAACACATCCATACCATCAACCTAAGTGATATCCAGGTAATATAGGAATATAACATCATTCTTTTGAATCAAATATACACATGCAGTCTGGCAACCCAAAATAAGATAAAAACCAATATAAATGCACTTAACCCTTTTAAGTCATGATCTTTTTTCTATGTTGTTGTATTTCATGGCAAGCTGATACAAAAACAGAAATATAAAGTTGGAGAAAGAAAAAACATAACTTACCCATATTCCAGGTATGTACTGTCCCCTAGTGTAGTAGTCTGTATTGGCAGAAGCCCTGGACACGGATGTCCCCATGCCATACTTGTTGTTCTCACATACAAATACACAGGGCAGATCCCACAGCTTGGCCATATTGACTGCTTCAAAGAACTGCCCCTGATTGGCAGCACCATCTCCATACAGTGCCAGAGTGATATTGTTGGTGCCATTATACTTCTGGGCAAAGGCTATCCCTGCTCCTAATGGGACCTTTATATAGAGGATGATCAAAATCACGGAGTTACAGAAATGATCTTGGTTCTTTTGGGAAAACTACACCCACACAACAACTACATCCAGAGTTTCTTTATATATATATATATATATATATATATATATATATATATATATATATATATATGGAACTTTGAAATAAACAGGTAAGTATTTTACATAGCAATATATATATTCTTACCTGAGCCCCAACTATACCATTGCCACCATAAAAATTGTCTCCATACATGTGCATAGAGCCACCTTTTCCCTTAGCACAGCCAGACTTACGACCTGAAATATCAAGATGGAGGTTTCAGTCTGTTATCACATTTCCATTCATTATTTTTAACTTAAATCATCAAATGCACCACTAGAATCGTCCAAGACAAGTTGTATCTAGGGCACTTTACCATGAACAATCAAATTAACTGCCTGAAATACAAAACAAATATATTTTCATTGCTAAACATCTTTTTGGATCTGGTTTGTAAAAAATTCACACAAAAATATTGACCAGGCTTTTTATCAATATCAAAATGAATCATTCTGCATTATGCTGTGTGTAAAATTGTACTCTATGAAGTGTTGGCCCTATAACTGACATTGTAACTCATACTTTTTGAAGAGTTATTACAAAGATACTAAACAATACTACTTAAGCCAAGCTTCATGATTTTGACCTTATTATATAGTTCTCATGTAAAATGATGAAAAGGGCACCAAAGGGATGCAAAACAGCACAGATAAGTTAGTGTTTGTTAGATAGATATAAATGCTATCAGGAAGTTGTTCAATAATTGACCTCTCATAATATCAGCTGTTATCTCCCTTCACTACAGTGGATGGCCTTACAGTGGCTATCTAGTAAAGGAGGAAGTGCTATAGAGCTGTAGCTGTATGGGATAAACTGACAGTGAAGAGCACCAGACCAGATGCTGCCAACACACTTGTGCTTGAAGTGGCCAAAGATGAATAAGATGGGAAGAATTGGACTTTTTGTTCTACTGCAAGTCATTGCAAGTCACGGTGCAAATGCTGGTAAGTTGGGGGATACTAAGCCATTCTATTTTGTCTGTTGTCGCAAGTACTGCTTTGCACAAAGTTACCTATACAAGAAGAGATAAATCAGTGAATAGGCAGAAAACAGACCCTAACAATGCAAATTTGTTCATCAGATGGAATGAGTATAATATCTACTTAATCACATTAAAGATATAATATAATTTCTTAATTGAATTGATGTTTTATTTTCTCTTGAACAGTCTTGATTATTTTACTTCAGGAAGTTTTGCTGGGTATTTAGGTTGCTACAAAGACAAAGACTTTGATGAAAGAGCAGTGTGGAAACCAAGGGAAACTCTTAAAATCAAAAGTGACAAAATGACAGTTAGATATTGTGTTAATTACTGCAGAAAAGGAAGATACAAGTACAGCGGTGTGGAACACAAAGATGAATGTTTCTGTGGTAATAATGACAACCTGATGAGATATTCAGGTGGCAAGAAAATCAATGAGAGCGAATGCAATCAAAGGTGTAAAGGAAACAAGCAACAAATATGTGGAGGGGACTGGAGGATGAACGTCTATCTCAGTAAGTTAAGTCATAATCACCCCTTTAATAATAGGAATAATTATAAGAATAAGAAGAAGAAGAAGAAGAAAAATAAACTGACTAATAAATAAAATATGAATTTGAAATATAACAAAAAAACATTTCATTTGCCTATATATCCACTTTAAACTACTGGATATGGACTTAACCAGATAAAATTATGATCCGAAACCATCATGCTATCAATTCCACAGATTAAAATCTCAATTGTATCAAATCCCATTGCCTTTTCTAAATCTCTATGGCATCATATATTGGTTAAAAAAAATCTCTCTACATGATTATAATGACACACAGGGTTTTATCAATGTTTTAGCTGGGAACTGCAGCAGTGATTGGCTGATGACAAATGGGAGTGTAGTTCGCGTAGACAAACATCAAGGTCCCTTCCTGTTTGGAGATACAGTGAGTGTCCAGTGTCATGCTGGTGAAATGGTACTAGGACCTAAGACTGCTGTGTGTACTAACAACCCAAGGAAACGGGGGTTTGCAGTGGCATGGAACAATACACTGCAGTGTACAGGTAAATGGACAACCCAGTTCATCTTTTGCTTTTTTGTGTCTGTGATAATAACAACTACCTTGAGATGTTCAACTACATTCCCAAGATGAGCATTTCACAATGAAAATAATAAAATTTAAAACTAAGGAGGTCTAATGAGAGTTCATTGATGTTCATTAAAAAATACCAGGTAAATATTTGGCATTTCATCCATAATACCACTTCTATCCTACACATGTAGTTAATGATTACATTGTGTTAAAGACAGTAACTGTCAGAGCAAAATGGTACCAAAAATCTCTATATTTCCAAGGTATACCTGGCTATGTGGGCTGTTTTGCTGCCACAGACTTGAGAGACACAATCAACATGACCATGCAGGACATGGATTCCAGCACATGTATTGAGTTCTGTAATGGAACTGCAGGGTATGAGCTGGCTGTAGTCAGACACCACTATTGTTACTGTGGACATGACAACTTACTGGGGGCTGCTGGGGGGAACTGTACTTCACCCTGCACAGGAGATAACACTCAGACATGTGGAGGGGAAACCTCAGTGTCTGTGTACAGAGGTATGGGTGCATATCAATATTTCTGAATAGAAGTAAAGGGACAAGTTACCGTTTGTGTAATGATAATGTCATCATCAGTCTATCTGAGGTAAGGGGACATATAGTCGCTGTCTGTGAACAGAAGTAAGGAGATATGGTACTATGTACTTTGGATAAAATGCAATCAGTCAGTTTACACCAAAAATACCAGATATTTCACAGAAAGTCCAAAATAATCCTCATCTATGCATCTAGAACATATAGTTACTGATTTAGCTCCCCCTATAGAGTCCAAGTCATTTTTTCATTCAAAAATTATTTTTTAATAGTAAGAGAGACAGAGCCTACTACAGCAAGGACAACTGCTGTTGATCAGACCACCGGGCTTTCGGTTCACTACACATCAACAGTGGTTATATTAGGTGAAGCAAAAAATACTGGTGCCAATAGCCAGATAGGTAAGACACGTGCAAAGTCACTTGCATTTTCATAAATACTAAGGGCCCCTTTACACTGGACGGCGTCCTTTCTGCGTCCAGCAGTACGGTCCCATTTGAGAGTTAAAAAATTATAATACTTTACGTGCCGACAACTGGCCGATCATTGAGCATTCATTCTGATACAAAATCAATGCTCGTGCCTTTTTATTAAGACCACAGCGATGCCAAATTTCATGGTCGCAGAAAGGACGCAGAAAGGACGCCGTCCAGTGTAAAGGGGGTATAAGAAAAATATGGCCCAGTGAAAATTCTTGACAGCCTTTTCTTTGGCTTTAAATCGTATTTCTTTACTTCTAACATAAGGCAAGAGATCAAGCTTTTCCCTTTTTAAAGTTACAGTGATTGGAGCTACTATGGGAGTGGTTGTTCCTACTGCTTTGTGTGTTTCACTAGTACTGTTCATTCTCTACAGGAGGAAACATGGTCACAGGTATGTCTACCCATAAACTAACAACCACATCTATCTGCAAAAGATACCAAAATACATGTACATTAAATGTTTAAGCACTGCCTGAAAAAGATCCAGCTGCTGTAAGAAACAATCTAGTAATACAAAATATTCTACTAATTTGCCACCAGTGCAGGTCAATACACAGTTCATTATACACTGGAGCACTACAAAGCTCAACAACATATCTATCTACTGATCTATGTCTTGCCATTTTAATTCGTAATGTGAGTGACATACAATATAGCATAATATTCTCTTTAAATTCAGATCAAATGTTACAAAAACAGACAATGATAAGAGTACCAGCAGATAATTAATTGTCTTTCTTCATAATTGTTATATCTCTTTCATTCATTACCATTATTACTTATTAATTATTTATCTATTTTACAGGACCCTCTGTTTCAAAGAGGCCCACAATGATACAACTAAGATCACCACATTTGAAAATGACTTTACTGCAGATCCCAAGACTAATAGTGATAATGCTGCACACTCACAGATTGACTATATGGTAGCTAATGACCTATATGGTGATGGGACATCAGGGATAGATAGTCAAGATTCTATAGAAAATGAATTTGACAATGGTACCATTACACGGACTGTTCACACTGACAGCAACGGCCTCTACAATGAAGAAACTATTATGACCGACTGTGACATTTACACATCAGAGGACCTTCAGGAAGGCAGTGATAGCGACAGTCTCTATAACAAAGAGGCTGTTATGATGGACTGTGACATTTATGTTTCTGAAGATATTCAGCAAAATTATGAGAACTTTCAACTGGATGCCCTGTATGCAATGCCAGCAAAAGGAAAAGCTTGTGGAAAAAATTCTCAAGATAAACCCCCTATTACACCAAGGAGAAAAGACAAAGAAAAATAGATTGTAGCCCATTCTATGATGTAAAGGAAACTTTAAACTCAAGAATTGTTATTGAATAAAACAGAATAGAATGTTTCTCCTCATCTTGGTGAATACTTGTAGACTGGACCAGAATTTTCATGGAGATACATTCCAGTTCAAACAGGGTTTAATTTTCCATGTTAGTTACTTGTAAACCATTCACTTGATCAGGTAAATATTAATTCTACAGAGTTAGCTGTATACCTGATTACGTTTGGTGTGGCTGCATGTGGTGCATGTGACATATGTTGGAATTACCTGTCAGTTCAGCCAGTACTCCAGTGACAGAGACACCTTTCATGTATGTCCAGCCATGAGCTCTATAAGCTGTGATCACAGCATCAGACTTCAGAATAGAGGCAGTCATACCAACACAGCATGCTTCCTAGTATGCAAATATTTTGTTTTTTAAATTATTATTCAATAATCTCTCAGTCCATATGTTTAACTGAACTCAGGACAACTTTATGAAAAGTAAACTTCTCAATTTCTTAAACCAAAATCAGTTCAAAGTAATGAAAAATATTTGTAATTGTAGACATGTACACTTCAGAAAGATTTCAGACTGACCTCAAATATTCATTTTAAAATATACTACAAACTGCAAAGGCATACACATTTCAGAAATGACATAAAAACACAACAGATCAAGTACTGATTGCTCCCATAATATACCTGTCCTGAATATAAGTGACAAAATCCTCGGATGACTTTCTCTTTATACATGTTCCCCGCAGCTGTCTCCATCCTTCGAATGGTTTGCATCTGTCTGTAGTAAAGCAGAGCATCATCGCGTGAACATTTAGTGGTTGTACTGGGACCTTCCTCTGTCAGATGAAGCTTGAAAGGCTGGAAAAAAGCATTAGTTCAATATTATGAGAATAATTCACCAGTATCTAGCCTTGCCATTATGGAATTTTTACGAACAGTAAATCACAAATTGAAATAAATTTGAATTTAAAATGATATATGAAAATTGTCATTTTGTGCATATCTTATCGTAGCCAAATGACAACCACGAGAAACACTTATTGAAAAAAAATTTTTTACCGTTAAAATTTAGAAAAAATATAGAAAAAATTCTTAAACTAATCTCTTTTTACATATATTTGATTTAAGGGCCATCAGAGTCTGCTGTCACTGCTTTTTTGGTATTCTGAGATAATGATAAAAATTTCTCTTATTCTGCCAAATAAACAATGTTAAATTGGCAAGAAATAGATATTTTTCAATGTCTAAACCTAAATCGAATCATCTTAGACTTTCATATCAATAGAAAATGTTTCCTTATAGCATAGGGTGACAATTGTTTCCTTAACATTTATTGTCTTAGAAGCCTCTGCTTTTCCTTAACTTTTTATATAAATTCAACACATGCTAACTATCCAGGGGTGTTATATATCGGTTAAAACATACCTGACTCTCAAAACTTGCTTCCGGAACAGTTGATGCATTTCTCACACTGACCAAGCAGAGTAAACCCTGAAACAAATGGTAACAAAACATATTTCAGACAAAAATTAGAACTGAAATGCCTTTACACTTTTATTTAAAAGTTTTGAAATAGCAATATGGCAAACACTATTTAGAATTACTATTTACCTGTTCAACTTTCCAAAAAAAAAAAAATATCACAACAAATGTCAGAGGAACAGAAAGGAAATGGTTTTGACAATTTTTAATATAAGGATAACACAGTTTCAAGCATGGGCTCTAACCACCAAAATGGCTACCTGTTTGTAGCACAGCAGCAAATATTTATGAAAACACAATTATATACATAAAAAAAGAGTGGCACAGACAGAAGCTTGTACTAGGGAAGGTGCTATGATTAAAAAACGTGCCCTGAGCTTGGATTAGCAGACATGGAGAAAAATTTGGAAATATTGAAGGTCAATAGGACCTGCACTATAACAAATCTATAGGTCCTCCTAATTCTGTGCAGGTACGAACTAAATATTCAATTTCCATAAGTCTTTTTTTGAAACTAAATATCCAATTTCCATAACTTGTGAGTCTTTTTTTATATGTGACTTATTATTATGTATTGCATTTTCACTTAAACCTTGCCAGTTCAGAGGACCTGTAATATAAAAAATCTTGCAGGTCCTGTGGCATTTCAAGTGGCCATGATCAGTAGATCAGGTAGTTTCACCATGTCTGTATTAGATGATAAGTCCTTTTTTTTTGTTCCCATGTGGATTGCAATTCTGTTCAATTTTAGCATGAGCACTTATTTACAAATGACCGAAGACTGAAATTAATTCCTTATTTGATGATTTAAAAAGAACTAACACTGTGTAATCCACCTTATCAAGTTAGGCTACCTAATAAAGTTAAGTTAACCAAAGGCACTGACATTTTTCACTGGCAAGTTGATAGACCTTTGCTGATCTAATGAATTAAAGCTCAAAGCAACACTCTTACCACAATCTTCTAAGTAGTGTTCAATTTAAGTAAAGAAATGAAAGTACCAAGAACAGTAAGACCAACTGGATGGCCTTGTGGTTAAAGTGTCCACCTCCAGAGCAGGAGGACATGGGTTCGTTCCAGTCCAGGGACATATCAATCCTTCACAAATGGTACCTTCTGTCTGCCCACTTGGCACTCAGCACTTAAGTTAGGGGTTGAAGCAGGATTCCTGGGCTCCGTAACTTGAAAGCATAGCAAATTGCGACCTAGTGAAAGTGTCTCTATTCCATAACTTGGGATTTACTTGCCTCATATAACAGCCTCGAAATAAAAGGTGATATTGCTATTTGAGATGCTTTCGAGTTACGGAGCTCTGGCCAGACTGAGAACGATATTGTAAGCTTGCTAGCTTTCAGCGCCTCACATGGGAGCTGGGCTGTATCTTTCCCAGGGAAAGATCATCAACATAGGTTGTAATGACCAGGCACCAAACTGTTATATATATATATATATATATATATATATATATATATATATATATATATATATATAT